CCACTTAACATCAGGTGGGGTAGAGTCATTAGCCTACCTGGCTATATATATATATGTGTATAAAAAAAAGTTATTCATATCGCAATCAAAGTTTCTATGGACACTAAGCAGCATCCCCACAGGACCAGACGTAGGAACAAACTGGCTCCAACCATAGACAAACTTTGATAAACTTTCGGCGATAGGAATACTAAACTTTCTAGCTAGATAGTTTATTTGTGTTTGGGGTGCAGAGGCCCAAGTACTATAGTTTAATTAAAATTGTTTTTATGAAAGTATAAATAATTAAATGTGCATGTTGTTTTGTACAGTCCTCTGTAAATGCTAATCACAGCAGGTTCATGAAAAATCATGTGTGTTCAACAGTGTTATGGCCACCTGTCATCATCATCATCAGCCTATTAATGTCCCCACTGCTGGGGGCACAAGCCTTCCCTTATGGATGGAATAGGGAGATTTTGCCATGACCCACCGGGGGCCTAGTGCAGATTGGTGGGTGTTGACGACTGCAGCTGGAACCAGCGGTAAATTTATACGGCGATAGTAAATTTTTGGTCACCAATCCAATGACCGACCATTGCGAAAGTTGCTTAACTTCAACAATCGTAGCTGAACATGCTAACGAATTGCGCCATCGAGCTCCTCACCCATCCAAAGTTAATCATCTGCAGCAAAAATTTGTTTTAACCCCCAACCACTGTGCAATCAAGTCACTTGATAACTACTTGAAAGTCAATTTTAAAACAAAGTCTCATCCGTTTATCTTATTAGGTTATTAAGTCACAACTGAAATGAGAATAAAAAAACAGAGATATCAGCCACGTTAAAATCAACTGTCTCTCAGTGTAGAGTGCAGGCAATTTTTTTCATGTTATCATCCATATTGTTACGACATAAGAGATAAAATCGTAGAGCAGTGATAACGCGCATTTTGTAACCCCAAAAATGTGATCATGTTATGTCATACTTATGCATAAGTTAGCCAGATCTTTTACAATTCTAATGACAGTATTAATGATGAATAATTTGAATTAATTTTAACTATAAAATAAAAAGTAAAAATGTCAACATACAAAAATTATGTATGTGATTAATTAAACATGCATTGGGGCAAGTATGTGAATTTTGATTGACTTGCACTATCATAATTAATGAATAACAACCTTTAGTGAGTTCAGTTTCTCTTTCAGTTGAATCATTTTCATTCACTGACTATGCATGTAATTACAAAATAATGCTAGGTGGTGCATGTGACCATCTGAATAGAACAATCTATTCACCATACAAAATCTGCTCCTCTATTTCTCTCCATTTTAAGATTCCTTTTTTTCATTTATCTTTCGGCTAAGTTCCCATTAGATCAATACCAAAATAGATTTGGCGATTTAGGTATGAAAATAATACAAAAAATTATTTTTACTATTAAGATTATATTATTCCATATAAGATTTATATGGATGCATGCACGATGCAAGTATGCCTTGTTTATAACCTTTCATAGATTCTAGAGGTTAGTTGTTCTATCAATGTGTCATTTGCACAACACATGTCGAAGAAGTATTTTACTCATGAATCCGCAACAAGCATATTTAACATTTGGTAAATAGTTAAGACTGTGCCCCAACATCTGTACATATGTTGATAATGTTGTATCATATATATATATATATATGATCAGTACAAAAAGAGGCCACAAGTTAGGATATAAAAAAAATCTACAACTTGAACTAAAAACAAGACTTAAAATCAAAAAGTTTACCCCAAAAGGGGGTAGACCAACAAAACATTCAATTCATCATTATTAATTAATAAAAGGTGACTTCATGAATCATATCATACTTAAGCAATTTTTCAACTTGACAACTCTGTTTATAAGAATAGAGGGAGAAAAAACAACTCTTGCTGATTCTTCTCAGTACAAGATCTCCCACTGTAGATTTACAAACCGATGGCATAGCTTCTAGACATTATGAGTGCTTGTAGCACATTAAACCAAGTAAACTATTTGATTTTGATTAAATTAGATAATAATAGAAATGAACAATAAGGAAACCATATTAGACTGCCTCATAAAGAGCATACCATAAGTTATGTGCATTACAAAACACCTAAACACTGATCTTTTAGTTAAGTAAAATATGAGAATAACCTGCAGTTCTATTTGAACATGTTTCATTTACAAATGTCAATTGTCAATAAACAATACTAGTAAATCAGTTATAAAATGATAATTATGTAAAAAAAAATACCTATTTTCAGTTTATAAGAATTTGTCAGTACAAATAATGTATGTCTACCTTCATTAATATAAAAAACCTAATAAATATTAAAGAAATAAATAAAAGTTCTGTTTTCTATTTACTATTTATCAGTAGGATTATCTTTAATTGCACAATTTAAACTTTTGTTATGTAATTTGAAAACTTTAAAAAAACATGTGACTTATTGAAGGTTATGTATTAGGGTTGAACATCTGGCTTTGCAACAATAACAAAACAGAATATTGTCAAATTCTATGGTATCTTACTATCATCAAGGGAGTCTTATTACTCTGGATCTTAAAATGATGATAAACATGTAATACTAAGCAACAAAAACTCCTTAGTCGTGGTTGATCAAGCGCCTGTTTCTCCGTTGCCTTTCCTTTCATTGTCGAATACAAGTCTTAACATAATTTATGGAGACATTATGCATGTAAACATAATGTATGGGTACATACATTGTTTACATATACAATAAGGGAAATGCAGCATTGAGTTATTAACATACAGAAACGGTTAAGAAAAGAATGATAACTGCATTACAGTCCGATTTAATAATTGCAAGTCATAATCTAGTGTTCAAATGTGAAAACACAGTGAAAACCCACCTGACAAGGGTTTGTTTACATCTGTAAATGGATCACTCACCTGCCAAGGGTTGACTTTTGGGATGGGAGCCTCCACAAACTTCTTTGGCTGGGCCTCCTCAGCAGCCGCTTGCTGTTCCGGGGTCTGCTGAGGCTCGTTGTGTGGCTGCGGGACCTTGTGAGGCCTCGGTGGCGCCCTTCGCTCGCGCTCCCTTCTGCCCTTGCCCGGACGGCGTCCATGCGATATCACCGGCACGAAACCTTCCTCCTCCTCATCATCTTGGCGTGGCGCTACGTCTGTCACCTCCTCCGGCGCCGCCTCTATGTTCTCCTTGTTGCTGTCGTTGTTATCACCCCCTCTAAAGTTCAGCACAGACGCATACGAGGGCCCCGCGCCCTCTGCCGACACGCGAGCGGCCATGCCGCCGCTGCCGCTACCTTCGTTATGTAAGACCGGGCGCGACTCAGGATCACGAGCGCGCCGCCATGGCCCTCAACAAGACGGCATGCTGCCGAGCTAACCGACGAATCGAAAAGTCACACACACGGACGCGACCCCACCGGACGGTATGAAGGTCGAACGCGAAGAAAACTACGCACGCAGTCCACGAGCGCGACGTAACACACGACAACCGAAAAATATGCGCGGACTTCTTGGGGCACACCGGACTGACCCTGGATGGACTGTATTTACATCGAAAAAATTCACTAGCGACGGCCGTTTGGAACTCCTCTGGGGCACACAGTGATCCGTTCACACTATATCTATCGATACCAGATAGGAAACACTTCTAATTGGGCTTTTCAAGACAGAATTTCACCATAGAAACATATTTTGTTCAACATTCCCACATGTGGTCGGACGCCCAAAAAGGGATTTTTCCGCAACACACACGGAACTTGCGGAAGGCTGTGACTTCTTAATTTGTCAGACGACATTTTGTCGCTAGATGGCACTTTTTTGTCACTGACAGCAGCTGCGTTCAGACATTTGATCTTCTTTATAGCCTGAATACAAATCCCTCGCTTCTCGTTTTCTATAATTGTGTGGATGATTATTAATTCACAGTAATTTAGTATCTTCATAGATTTTATAAAGGTCGCACAAGCTATATTTTAGAAATTAATAATATTTGTTAAATAAATCTTATGAGAACGCAGCCCTAAGGAAAATCACATTTCATTCAAATGTCAAAATGTTTGCCAAATATTTTAATGGCACTGACCAGTGCAATCGAAATTAATATTGTAACCAAAAATACTTCGAGTTTTACGAATTGTTTTTTATTTCAATTTTTATGCCTTTTTTAATTTTATTTGTAATGTTTTATTGTTTTCAAGAATATAAAAAAAAATGGACTTAATCTATGGCTCCTACCAACTGCGTTTCGTTGTCGTTGCGTTATGAACATTGATTGTTTTGTTGTATTTATTATAGTCCACGAAAATATTATTTCAAATTGCTCTAAATTCTTGTCATGTATCCTATTTGGGAAATTAAAAGACAAAAACATACTTAAACGTTATAATTAATATAAATACGTATTGGTGTCGATTCTGGCGTGATTCTCTAAACTTAAAACTAAATTTAATATCAATCTCTCCTTTTCATTCCGTATAGAGAATGACAAGGATACACTGTTGTCAAATTTAAGTTTAGGTTTAGAGAATCGTTTCAGAATTGACACCATTAACAAAATACATGAAAAATTTACATAACTTCGATTAATTATTATATAATAAGACTATTTCATTGCCAAAAAAGCTCAACAAATAAGCATCGTTGATTGAATAGTTCCTTCTTGTTCCATTTGACACTTTTTCATGTAATTAGTTCTTTCCGCTTTTCCTTAGTGTCGCCGCACACGGGCCACACGCCACAGCCACAAACGCCGCCACGAGAAGCTAGAAGCGGCTACTAAAGTGGTTGAAGCGCGCGACAGCGGACGACTAAGGTGAAGGAGAAAGGGGTGGGGAATCGCGCGAGTGACGTGTGGCGGCGTTTTGTATCGGCGCATTAAGTGGCCGGTGCGGGCCACAAGAAGCGAGCAACGACAATTTGTAGCATGTGGCGGCCACGGGCGTATCGTGTGTGGCGAGTCCATATAAAATGCATGAAAACTACAAGAAATATGCCGGTGGCGGCGTATCGTGGTTGTGGTCGGTGGCCCGTGTGTGGCGACACTTAAAGGATCAATTCATAAAGAGTACGAAGGCAAACCAAGTTTTTAAATCGTAGGTTTACTTATTATTAGTATTGCCTTTTTGTCAAATGGTTTTCGAATGTTTCACGATTTTACGAACGAAAACATAGCATAAGGAATATCACGAAAACCCATTTTCAGGATTAGTTGGACGATAGATACCCAAAAAATTCCTACAATTCCTGCAGTAATGATAAACATCTTTACATGATCTGAGAATGTAAGGTAATGGTGCACAAACCCAGCAGCAGAGTAAGCACAGGATGACTGCACAAAGATGGGTGCATATGGTGATCTTACTGATTACCATCGTCATGCCAGCGTATCCGCATTCCGGGCAGATGACTGGCATAGAGACAAAACCAAAGTTGTAAGCTCTCGGTGCCGGTGGGATCGGAGTATCAACGTATATATCGAAAGCGGCTGCATAGTTCGGTGGTGGTGTGTGTTGCACGAACGATGGAGAAGGTACAAAAGTTCCGATGATTCTAGGCCTTCTTCTTAAAGCCATTTGTCTCAAAACAAACGAATAGGATGGTGGAGCGCTGGTTAGAGAATCAGGAGTAGACAGTTCCTTTTTTCCAATGATATTTATTGTCCTACCCGTGTTATCCGTTATTTGTTGAATATTTAATTGCTTCGCCAATTCTTTGCTTAGAGAAGTTTCATTGAGTTTCGAAAGAGCTTGTAGAAATAACGATTGTGGCTGGCCAGTGCGAGTGAACGATGTTGCTGATGGCAAGTCAGAGGGAATTCTAATTTGATGACTAATGCTTGATGGTCTTGCTATTACGGATGGAGGTCTGCTTATAATAATGAATGGCGCAGACGCCAGTGGCTTAATAAGAGCTTTATCATTATAATAAGAGTAAACAGATGCAGTGTCAGGTGGTTTAGGAGCGCTGATGTTTGAAGTTCTAGCTTCCACACTTAAATCTATAGCGTTGGTACATATCTCATTACAAAAAACTGCCTCTGATCCGGTATGGTCTGATATTTGAATAGTATTAGTCTCATCAACGCCATGGCTGCATCGGGCAGTATTGTTTCCATCCTTGGACACTGTAAATGATATTGTAGTCTTTAATCCAATGGATAAATAAAATAATAAAATAAATTATAATAAATATTTCCAACACACACCAGTTAGCCTAGCCTGAAAGTAAGCACTGTAAGGCTTGTGTTATGGAATACTAGGGTGACGGATAGAATACATATACAGTACATATATAAGTATATTTTATATAGAAATACATATTAAACATCCATGACTGGAGTGCAAATGCTCGTATTCATCACACTAACATCTCTCCCACCGGGATTCGAACCCGGAACCTCTCGAGTCGGTGACGCCATGAAACCCGGCGTACGTAGAACCATTTATCATGATACAGTGTTAGACGGTGTCATTACATACTACACCATCTTAATACTAGGTATTATTCTTTGCAAAGGTTGCTAAGCCGTCAAAAGCTAGAAAATGTTTTAAAATCTAAGGTACGTATCTCCATAGGCCTTACAGCATGACAATTAACATATTTATTAAAAGAATACCTACATATACTCCTGCATTCATTTTAAAAATACGGAGTTGGTGTACTTTAATTCAGAGTTCAAAATAACAGCTGGTATACTGATTTTTTTCTTACTCTCTTATCCAGCATGGAAAATGATCCGGAATTATATAAAAATTTCTTTGTCCTAATATTTTTACAATATAAGTGAAACACATTAATATGATAGGTATTGCTGCGTATAATTTAATTTATCACACAATAAAATTAAAATTTTCGCATTATGCAGCTGGTTCCTACAAATTTCGACAAAACCGTTTGACAGAAAAAAACAGATTGTTATTCGTGATTGTCGTAATAAGTACATGGACCTAGAATTGTGACTGAAAAAAGTATAGTAAATCTATGTTGAATAATGCATTTATCTTTTTACTTAAAATATGAAAAAGTTTCAACTCTATACATTTCGTGCCAAACCCTCAATAAACATTAGAAAGCGTCACACCTACATTCTAATGTAAAAAGAAAAAGAAGATTAATTTAACTTAAGATTAGGCTGCATGGGCATTGTTTTTGTTGCCTTCCTTAATATGGCAGAATCTTAAAAAAAGTTTATAATGTAAAGCCACCATGCATGTAAACGTCTATATTATTTACAAAACGTTTATTTTATTTTATTTTTAAATTAATCTGCAGTTACTCTGCTAATAAAATAATATAGTTAGTATTTCGCAATAACTTGATGTACTTGTTAAATTAAATTATTTATTTAAATTGATCGTGCTTATTTTTATGTCAAAGTCATAGATTTATTTTTTGGCCTTGCAACTGCCCATTATTGCTGTCAAATTTTCTGAACTCATTTCCGTTCTTTTCACACCTCCGTGGCATGGCGGATGGTCTTTACCACCGCTTGTAGTGTTTTTCTGGAGGATATTGTTCGCTGATATAGCGAAATGGTAAGTTCGAAGCCCCTAAAAGTTTTGATTCATCGTAAATCCTGTGTAGTGGCTAAAACTATTGTTGTGCAAGTGTTTACTTCTGGTTGAAAAAATCATGGTGCGAATCCCACGTGTTTGGTTATTAATTCGTTAAAATTCGTGATAATGTGAACGTTTCACTTAGTTTCTAGTTCTCCAAACTACAATAAGGATCTAAAAACTTCAAATTTATATACATTTTGCATACACAAAGCTCCCGGTGAAAGGTAAATAGGCGAGACATAGCGGTCACGCTTGCTTTTGAAATTTCAGTATAAATGTGCATATTTTCCCTATGTTTCAACAAAAATCTCTTTGCTGTATTACAATAGTTTAACTTATATCCCCATCACATGAATATAGTCAATATTTTGTATATTTATTGTGTTTATAAATTTGAGGTTATGTCAGTTTTTTTGAGTTTACATTAAGATTCTGATTACATTATGAATTTTCAAGTTGTTCCATTATTCGTGCACCCCGAACTCTTCCAGTTGATGCCATTGTGGTTCCTCTGGTACACTTCTGGGGTAGATAAAATTTCCCTTAGGAAACAGGGTTATAATTCTGATTGTAACTTTGTGTCGACGTGTGGAAGACATAAATATATTAATAATAAAAGTCGATAGTAGAGTGTTAACAAAGCTAAACACACGTTAGGCGTGCTGTTAACTGCTTTTTGTACTCATTTGTCACTAATTCTGTTTCAGAGTCTATCAGTTGCCCGACCGCTTGTGTCGGTCTACTCAGAGAAGAGCGAGGTTGTACCTGGGGCCTCGCTGCCTTTACCATTCGTATTCAAGGCGCCCATCAGGCCTGACCTTGTCAACGATGTGCACGTTTCCATGTCTAAGAATGCACGCCAGCCATACTGTGTCAGCAAGGAGGCAGGTTAGTTTGAACTTCACAAGATAGGTATGAAAAAAAAAGCTCTTTTTGTGGTCTTCAAAAATATTGAAGTTGTAACCCTTTCTAATACTACTGTAGAGAAAAGGGCAATAGACTTTTTTGATATTTTTCAAGTTCACATGACCTATTTTTAACTCTCATATTTTGTTTTGATAAAATGTTTTATTTTTATGTGAAGTGATACAGTCGTAATTTTTTATAAAGCTATCAATAAGAAGCTAAAAAAATGGCATAAACAAAAGGACTTTATGTCCTACTTTCTGGGCCCAGAAGCAGAATGTTTTATTGAATAGGTCTTTATTTATGAAGTATTTTTCTGGCCCAATTAAGACCCGAAACCAAGTCTGAAATCAAGTCAAAGTTTGTCTGTTTATGCTTTGTAGTAATTCTGTTTTGTGTACCATTTAAATGAATAAATAGATGAAAAATATTTAATAATATTGAATCAAACTATACAAGTATATCAATGTCATTGATATACTTGTTTAGTTAGTAACAATAACAGTTATATCTTATATATAAAATTCTCGTGTCACAATGTTGGTTACCATACTCCTCCGAAACAACTTGACCAATTTTTGTGAAATTTTATATACATATTCAGTAAGTCTGAGAATCGGCTACTATCTATTTTTCATACACCTGAGTGATAAGGGTTGGCCACTCCCTAACATTTATTTTTGATTTTTTGGACATTCTTTTTATAGTGTGGCATTAAAAATACATACAACCCTAAATTTTTACCCTTCTATCACCAATAAAACAACATTTGCTGGGTCAGCTGGTAATTATATATGTTTTACATCATAAACAAAGGAGTAACTACTGATTTCTAATGGCAATGCACTAAATGTCCACATGCAAAGGATTACAATGCCTTTGTGTGTTACAACAAGTGCTACATAGAAGCAGGCACATGGCGTTCCAGACACACCTCGTGGTATGAATGGGTGCAAGGTTTCTGCGACAAGTACTTCATGCAATTAATGACAAGTTTTTATGTTACTTCAAATACTGAGTACTGTAACGCCCGTTGCGTTACGGTCTCTTTGCTAGTGTAAACTCTTTGTTTATGTAGTGCCTATGGCTGGCAGTTATATTAAAAAGTTTATCTCGTTATTTTAAAGATTTCAAATGGGGAATCTTCTGTCTTTTATGGAAGATTCCAGCAGATAGAATTCATTCACAAGAACGAACAGTTTTTGTAATTGTTTTATATAGACAAAGTTTTTATGAAAACTAAGCAGCAACCCCGTCCGACTTAAACTTTTTCCATACAACATTTTACGACAATGATATGATTGCAGAGCGGTCAAAATTCGTGCTTGAGCCTCTGTACATCTTTGCTTTCACCTGACTAGAATGGCTACAAGAAACTTTTGAGCTTAAAGGATTATACATTTAAAAGATGTTATTAAATAACAAGTATTCCCTTGTCTACAGGTCATCAAACCAGTGCGGAGTCTTGGGGCACCGGTCGTGCTGTTGCTCGTATTCCCCGTGTGAGGGGTGGCGGTACTCACAGGTATTGTAACCAATCATAATTAACATTACATTTATTTGTTAAGTATCTAGCAATCTTCTATCAACTAGGTTAGGTTCGGCTCGACAACCTCCGTGGCTGAGTGGTTGGTACGCCGGGTTTCATGGTGTCGCTTACTCGAGAGGCCACCGGATTCGAATCCCAGTGGGGGCAGATATTTGTGTGATGAATATGAGCATTTGTTCACCAGTCATAAGAAAATCTTGTTCATTTTATAAGATAAAAGGTCGTATATGCGAAATAACATTTTGTTATTCCTTTGTGAGATAGTTGTTATTAGGTTCAACTTAAACTGTTAAAACGTTTATCTTTGTCATCATTGGGAATCAAGTTAGTTTAAACTAACGCGGACAATTTTTAGCTTTGATTTTGTATGCAACTCTTTAACTATAGAATTGTTGATCGAAGGGCTTGTTACATCAAATTGGATTCCTTTATTTGGTATCATAACCAAATCAAAAAGCAATCTAATGTCAAATGCAACCTTCCAACATGCCAACAATACTTTTTGGTTGGGTGATACTTTGTTTGAAAATATTTTCTTTAATCTATTGTCTATGGGAGGAGCATTTGTAATAAAAAATTGTATATTCGTTACTCATTCACTTTAAAAGTACTGAACGTATTTTAATGAAATTTGGCACTAAATGTCCACACACAGAGGATCACAATGCCACTGTGTGTTACTGCGAAACGAGTGCTACATAGAAGCAGTGACATGGCGTTCCAGACATGCCTCGTGGTGTGAATGGGTGCAAGGTTTCTGCAACAGGTGCTTCTTCAATGCAACAAACAACATGCGATGAGGAGGTGACTAAACACCTCGAGTCCCTCCGATTCCGTCGGCCTAGGCACGTCTTAGACTACCCCGACGACGAAATCATCCGCGCCAACGCGCCTCCCATTCTTCCCACACAGGCCATAAACACCAACACTACACAGCTAGCAAACGCGCACACTAGCTTAGCATTAGGCAGACACCGCACCCGTAGGATAAGAGTGCGAAGACCCGGTCTACACACGACACACTATACCAGGTACAGGTACGTACCTGGGCGTTTTTCCCCGCCCCCCACGACAACGGCTAGCTAGAGCCGAGGTCCGAGTCTCAGAGACGCCCTCTAGTTGGGCCGACCCCCTCAGGTTCGAGTGGTCTAGAGGCTCCAGACGGAGAGGACACTCCCCCCGTGGGGAGACTCCATCCGCCTGGAATACCTCTAGAGGCACTCGCCAATTCTCGGCTTGAGGTCCCTCACCTCCCCTTAGGATCTGCTCTGCACTCTCCTCGCGTTCACACGAGTCCAGCTACAAGGCAGTCAAGCGAGGAAGGTAGACAAAATAGACCGGCGAGCTATTAACCTGCACACTGTTCTGCCCTCGTGTGAAATAGGTATACCAAGGAAGTAAGGACGATTAACAAGATATACACCAATACAATATAACAAGATACAAGTATCGGCGATAATTAGATGCTATCTTAGTTAAAGGTCACCACCGCATGCATTACAAAACAAGGCATTTAACATTATTCAGCATAATCTTAAGTGATATCAATAAGAAAACAATAATATAAATATACCGCACAATACAAATAAATATTATTTAATTTAAAAATTTAAAGATTCGGGAAGATTTAATAAGTTTATTTACTTTATGTTTAAAAGAAATACCAAATAAGTCTAGGTTATTGTCCAATTTAACCATAACATTGCGGAGGAAATAAACACTCGTCTCCTCCAGAGATGGCGCTACCAGCGCTGCGTTCTCAATTTAAGGAAGCCTACATCGCGCAAGTAAGATTCGGTAGCCAACAGTTCATATATACGATGCCCGACCAACATCGGTCGGTAAGATGGTAACGGATAGGTAAGACGCAATGCATCGCTCCCGAACCCATCCTTAGAGGAGGAAGACTCGAACGGAAGATCTTCCCCTTTGGCCTTCCTACAACATAACCAATCTGTGCGTTCCGGGTAAGGGTACGGCCAGAGTGCACTCAGATTCAGACTCAGAAAACAAGCTTGAGAAATATACAGTGTTAAACTACACTGTATATTACCCGCCATACACACTACGAGAAATCGTTACGATCAGACTGTACAGTTCGAACGGTACAGTTTATACGATTTCGTTTAGTATAGGAAACTGTGCAGTTTTATAACATACACGCTACGATTTATCGGTACCGTTCGGACTGTACAGTCTAATCGTAACGATTTCTCGTAGTGTGTATGGCCGGTATAAGATTCGAGCGGAAGGCTAGGCTTTGTGGTAACTCTCCATCTGGTATCTCACCGGTCCGTTCTCTTCCATGCTAGGTCTGGTCAAGGTGCGTTCGGTAACATGTGCCGCGGCGGTCGCATGTTTGCCCCCACGAAGCCGTGGCGTCGCTGGCACCGGCGCATCAACCTGCGCCAGCGACGGATCGCCACCGCGGCCGCTCTGGCCGCCGCTGCAGTCCCCGCCTTGGTGCAGGCCCGCGGTGAGTGTTCATTTTTTTTTGGTTAAGTTCTCCCTTTTCAGGGAAGGCAAGGGGAACGATGCCCATACAGCCTAGTCTTAGGGGCCGTTCATAAAATACGTCACGCTAAAATCAGCTTTTTCGGACCCCCTCCCCCCCTATTGTCACGCTGTATCACACTTTCTGTGACCCCTCTTGAAATATTCCGTCACAAAAACGGAGACCCCCCCCCTCCCCAAGTATGATTAATTTCAATTGATAGTACACAAATTTTAAGAATTTAAATATTTATTTAGTTTTTATAATAAAATTTAAATATATAAATATGCGCTAATGTCCAAAAATAAACATGAGTAAATATATCAAGTTACAATTTTTGTATAATAGAACTATAAATAAAAATAAAAATAGTTGAAAGAAATACTAATTTAAAAAAATTTAATGAACGACGAACGTCACGTTGCCGTAGACCCCCCCGTCCCCCCTTGTATGCGAACGTATTTTATGAACGGCCCCTTAAGTTAAATTATTCTGTTTTTCTTTTTACATTAGAATGTCGGTGTGACGCGTTCTAATGTTTCTTGAAGTGTTTGGCGCGAAATGTATCGAGCTGGCTTTTTCGATAAGCTTCTGTGAGGTAGTCGATACTACAATAAAATTCTCACGTCCGCTTGACCGGAATAGCGTATATTTTGACGATTGTACTAATTCTTCAGTTATGCAGACAGTTGTAACACAAAATCACACCAATTTTATTTCACAATATTCACTATGAACGAATTTAAGAATAATTAAGATATGACGCCAACCACACTCGATAAAATCCAAAAAACTCCGTGGTGAGTATTCATATCATCATCATCAGCCTTATTGATGTCCCTACTGCTGGGGCGGAGGCCTGAAACTATGGGGTCAGTGTTACCGACTAGTGTTGCCGAACTATCGATATTAAAACTATCGACAGTTTACATCGAAAATCATGTACCCTATCGATAGGCCTATCGATAGAATCGATAAAACCGATAGTATCGATACTATCGGTAGCTCAGAATAAGGCAATACTATCGAATGAGTGCAATACTATAGATAGTAGTAGATAGTATCGATACTATTGTACTTCGTTAATAACAAACTATTGATAGTATCGATACTATCGATAGTGTTGATTTTATCTGCAACAATACTATTGATAGTATCGATACTATCGATAAGCCGATCGATTGTCATACGATTGGTTGGCTATCGATAGACTATCGATTAATCATCGATAGTCGACTATCGATCGGCAACACTATTACCAACTCTCAAAAATATTTATCCCTAGAGTTTGTGTCAAAAACCCCTAAAATCGCCTTGGGTATTGAGTTGCCCCCCTAAAAATATATAAATATAAATTCATAATGATTTTAAATTAATATCTGTAATAAGTTTCAAAAGTATTATAAGTTATTTAAATACATAAAATATTTCGTCGTCATCTAAATATTCAGATTTCTTTAAATCATGCAATTTGACATTGAATAAATTTAACATTTTATTGGATGGAATAAATGTTGTACAAGATCCACCATGTGCACAGACAATAAAATGACCGCCAGTGTCGCCAGTATTGCCGCCAGTCACCACAGAGTGGTTGTAGAATAACGTACTGGATGTCGTTATAAGTCGCTAGGTCAAGAAATAAATATTAATATTATCAATTTAAAAATATTAAAGAGTTAAAAAATCGCTGAAAATACCCTTAAAAATTTCAGACCCCTAAAAAAATCCCATCTCACTTATTTACCCCCTAAATCTGGGGTAAAACCCCCTAAGTTGGGAACCCTGCCGCGGGTACTACTGATGGGAGCTAACAGCTACAGATGCAGCCGGGACCGACGGCTTAACGTGCCTTCCGAAGCACGGAGGAGTGAGAGATAGAAGATTTTTGGTCACCCATCCAATGAGCACCGCCCACTGCGGAAGTTGCTTAACTTCTACGATCGCAGCCGGACGCGCTAACCACCCGCGCCATCGAGGTTTAATGTTTATCCCCAATTAAGCCTTACTCGTGTCATACAATATGACTTGAGTTACGTACTGCGGGGAATAGAGACGCATCCCAAAGGAAACATCAGATGGCAACTACGGCAGCTGGTGTGTCGACATGAGGACTACATTTATTTTAGCACGTTTGAATTACATCAATAAAGATGATTTTTTATTTCTCGAATAAAACTTGGCTACTATTAAATAAATATAAATACTATATTAATATATAAAAACATACACACACACACACACTCACACTCACTCACACACACACTCACACACACTGACACTCACTCACATATACACACACACTCACACACACACACACACACACACACACACACTGATACTCACTCACACACCCACACATAACAAACTCCTTTGGCTATTCCATTGAATTAATAACTTAAGAACAGTTATCTGGATTAATAAATCGTTTACTAAATGGTACACAAGTTTATGAATAGGGTGGAGGGTTGATTACCTGAGACACAGGATTCATCCCAGTTCAGGTGTCAACCCACCATAATCTGAACAATATTAAATACCTTTAATGTATTTTAAAAAATTGCATGTTTTTTATATCATGGTTTTTATGTAGCCATTAATACCAACATTGTGATTATGGTGAGAAATAAAGGTTATTATTATAAATTATAAAAAATTAAATGTTACTTGAATGAATAATAATAATAATTTATTGGAACCACTTTACATTTTGGTACATGATAATCTGAACCCTGCCCTCTGGAAAAGGGTTACCCTGAGGACCAGAACACAGTGCGCTCCCCACTACACGCGGGAACTATTGATGGGTGCTAACGACTGCAGATGCAGCTAGGACCGACGGCTTAACTTGCCTTCCGAAGCACGAAGGAGAGAGTGATAGTAAATTTTTGGTCACTCATCCAATGACCGACCACTGCGGAAGTTGCTTAACTTCAACGATCGCAACTGAACTGAGCTCCGCCCGAGAAGAGAGAATTCGATACGATCATCAGGGCCACAGTAGTATAATGGACAGTGCATATTCGCCCGGATAGCGAAGGGTGTGAGTGCGAGTCCCGTCTGCTGCCTGGTCCGCGTGGAATCTGTTCTAGTAATATTTTTTTAGATTTAAACATCAAGCAGTTATATGCTTAAAAATATAAAATCATCCTTTTTTCAAACCTTTTTTTATGTAAGCAAATAAAAACAACCATATACAGTCTTTATCACCTTTAATGCTCAATGTCCAGGTCATGTGATCGACAAGATCCCCGAGCTGCCCCTGGTGGTGTCTGACAAGGTGCAGGAGATCAACAAAACCAAGCAGGCGGTCATCTTCCTGAGACGCATCAAGGCCTGGTCCGATGTCCTTAAGGTGAGATTTTTGAATCGAATTTTAATTAATAATATGACGAAGAAAAATTTTGCCATATGAAAAGTATATCTGTTATTCAAATGTTTTGGAAGGTAAATATTAGAAAACTTTAGATTTGTAAATAGAAGCAGTACAATTAAGATATTATTTTATGAGGTGAAGTTGCATTGCATATTACAATGTCGGCTGTGTTGAAAGAAAAAATATTTATTTACCATAAAATGCCAAATCTTATTTCATTTCATTTAAATATGAGATAATTAACAAACGTAAAAAAAAATAAAGTTAATGTATAGCAAATGATATTAACCTTTTACAATGGAACTTGCACATAATAGATTATTTGACAAGTTTGAGAAGACAATCTCACCTGTTTTACTAATGTTTATGGCGTCTATAGAAAGTGGATTTTTTTTTTAATTCTGTTGTGTAATTCAGTGAAAACTGGTTTAAAAATTCAATTTTGCAGTTGCCGCCAAAACGTTTCTTTGGACATTATGTCACCTCACTAGTATGTGACGTCACACGATTGTCATAAAAGCATCAAATGCGTGTGACGTCATTTTACTCGTGGCCAATCCCAGGCATTTTCGGTCATGTTACCCAGCAGCAAAAAAAATGCCAACAATTAGTACATTATAATTTTTTATTTTTTTAAGCATGTATCAACAGACTGCTCGATGTTTGAATCTAAAGAAATAATTACTAGAAAAAAATGAGCTTTTGGAATTTTTTCTAGTAATATTTTTTTAAAATTTAGTACATTATTTTTTATACTGTCAAAACGCCTATAATTTTTTTTAACTTAACAATGTGTGCTGATTTTCTGTGCCAGCATTACCTTAATCAAATTTTCTTTTACCAAGTCCTTCATTCTATACACGCAGTAAATTACTTCACTGTTTGTTTCTAAAGAGGACAAGATAAAAGTCTTTCCATACACAACAATCAGCGGATGAATGTCTTGCTGATATAGAATATGGAATACATTCGCAGTCATTTGGTTAAATTTGCCAACCAATAGGCCTAACCTGTTCATTGAACACCGGTGCCAATATAAAGCCTAGGCCGATACTTCATTGCTGTTGAAGATGACTGAGCAAGACGTGGCGAAGATATGAAATTCAAAAGAATATTTTGCTAGAAAAAAAATTCACGCGGACCAGGCAGCAGATGGCACTCGAACCCGCACCCTTCGCTATTCGGGCGAATGCACTGACCTTATGTTACCGCGGCCTTGCTGGTCGTGTCGAATTCTTTTTAGCCTTTCTTAAGCTGCAAGGCAACGCCATCTCGCATTGTAGATAACCTACAAAGTAAATACCTTTGGGGCCGTTCATTAATCATGTGTGGTTTTTTTTGCGTTTTTTAACCCTTCCGCCCGCCCATATCACGTGTATTTTTTAGTATATTATTATTTTTGTTTTTTTTTTATTAATTTTTAAGCATTTAACTGCTAGATGTTTAAATCTAAAGAAAAGTTTACTAGAAAAAAATCCACGCGGACCAGGCAGTACTATTATATTATTATTTTGTTTAAAATATTTATAAAATTCAGGTATAAAGTAACAAGGTTGTAAGGTTGTTTTTGACTGGCATAAAAATAATGAAAGAAAGGCGAAAAACTTATACATGAACATTATTTAATATACGGTATCCTCGGACCACGGATATACACGTGATTTTTTATGGACGTGTCACGTCTTAACGGCTGCAGCAATTAAAAATTGAGATGTAAGCTATCCCATCTTTGAAGTTGGATCAAACTACAAATGGTGTTAAAATTTGATTAAAATCCGTTAAGTAGTCTAGGAGCCATCCACAAACAACGTGACGCGTGATTTAGTTATCTCTTATCTATTAGACAAGACAGACGGACGTCTGTCTGTGGTGCTGTTTCAGCGGCCAAACCGTAAGAGATAGATAAAGAGAATATTTAAGTTATAAGTTAAGAATAGTCTGATAAGACTACAAACCGGATTTGAGTAACGTAGCACTTCCGGTTTTCGAGAAATCACGAATTTCAAACGAAACCACCCCAAAATCTCCGAAGTTCTCAATTAATTAATACATACATTTTTTTTTAAATCAGGTTTTGGTGAACATTTGGTTCACTGGTTTGCTAGTATATATTAAGAGATTATCATATTTCCTTTGTCGATAGGTATACAAATCGCAGAGACTGCGCGCCGGCAAGGGAAAGATGCGTAATCGTAGGCGCATCCAACGCAAGGGACCCCTCATCATATACCACAAGGATCAGGTGAATATTGTACCTTACTTACATATATATTAATATGAATAACAAATATATATAGACAGTGGAAAACCAAAATCACTTCTCCGCTACTTTGGTTGACAATAATAAGTAAATAAATATTTCCAACACACCAATTAGCCTAGCCCCAAAGTAAGCACTATAAGGCTTGTGTTTAAGGATACTAGGGTAATGGATAGAATACATATACTGTACATATATAAGTATATTTTTATTGAAATACATAATAAAACATCCATGACTGGAGTACAAATGCTCGTGTTCGTCACACAAACATCTGCTTCCACCGGGATTTGAACCCGGGACCTCAAACCACTCGGCCATGGAGGACGTCAAAACAATGAGTTACATATATCATGTTCGGTTTTAAATATATTGAATGCGTTAGATATGATTTTTATTTTTATCACTATTTTTCATTTGATTGAAAAAAATTTATTCCAACTGTTAAAGTAGCTTTGTTCCTTACTTAACAGAATTATAGACTACTAGCTGACTCGGCGAACTTCGTACCGCCCAAAAGTAATAATTTGCAATAAATTAAAATTGCGACTATAATTTGAGATTTAAACTATCCTATCTCTCAAGTTGGATCGAACTGCACATGGTGTGCGAATTTTATTATAATCGGTTCAGTGGTTTAGGAGTCCATTGAGGACAAACATTGTGACACGAGATTTATATATATTAAGATTTGACTTGTTTTGTTCTTTTCAGTTTTTATTTGGAAGTAATATTTGAGCAGTCGGGTTATTTTTTAAATTTACCTTTTTTTAACATAGCATTTGGTGCCACTATTTTATTTTAAGGCTATATAGTATACTTACCGTATTTCTGGTAAATAAATAAATCAATATCATGAAATAAATCATAAGGTTTGAAATTTCCACCCATGAAAGGTGATTGGTCTATCGGTGCAGAAATTTGATAATGCTGCCATAGTTTCGTCTTATTTTCTAGTAATTAATTTGTTATTAAGTTAACAAATCATGGTATTAAATTAAGTATTTTGTTTATCCCCAAATAAGCCTTACTCATTTCATACAATATGAGCTGAGTTACGTACTGCGGGGTATAGAAATGCATCCCAAAGGAAACATCAGCTGGCATCTACGGTAGCTGATGTGTCGACATGAGGACTACATTTTTTTAGCATGTTTGTATTGCATTAATAAAGATGTTTTTTCATTACTTGAACTAGTGGCCCGCCCTCGCTTCGCTTCGGTGTAGAGCTGTAGTGTAGACTAAAATGCCTCATATAATTATAAAAAAAAACTGAAAAGGGTATATATATAAACTTATTTTGACATCACGTCACTCAATTGTTTTGCTTTCCCGGTAACTCTCCACTAACATTTGAAATTTATGGTATGGTATTAAAGTTCAAATTGACTTTTAAGTATTATTACGAATCGTTTGTATGGGAGTATAGAAAATTGTTGTTTTTGGACTTTCAGGCATTTTTAAATTTTTTTCTCTTCGTAAGAACCATCCTCGTACTTCAAGGAATATTGTAAAAAAAGAATTATCGAAATCGGTTCAGCTGTTCTCGAGATTTGCACTTAGCAACACATTCAGCGATTCATTTTTATGTTATAGATTAAACTTTGCTACTATTAAATGTTATTTGAAGGAATGAATGAACACTTTATTGTACACCATGATATTTTAAATTACAATTTATTAAAAGTAAGTTATCAAGAAACCATTTCGCACTCTCTGCGTCGAAGCGTACAGTTCTGTCATTCCAATTACAACAGTATTATTATTTGTACAGGGTCTCACTCGTGCATTCCGCAACATCCCCGGTGTAGAAACCTTGAGCGTTGAGAAACTGAACCTCTTGAAGTTGGCTCCGGGCGGACACGTGGGCAGGTTCATCATTTGGACACAGGGCGCTTTCGACAGGCTCGGTGAGATATATTTATTTTATTTTAACAATTGGGAATATGGAACAGTTATACACTAAATATTACTAAAATTTATAATGTATATACTAATTAGGTAAGTGTAGAACCCACACCGATGTCCACAAATTAATGATGAAAGGAGAAGAGTATAATTATCTTTTCTCTAACGAATACTAAAAAAAAAACAAAAAGATTGAGATGAATCGGTACAGATACAAGTAAGATACCAAATTCCATCAACCCGTTCTATTATATAATGTTTCTACTGCCATCTTTTTAAAGGACATTGCTTGTTTCCTGTACATTGTTACACCTATTATAAATAACTCTGTTTGTATTTATACTGTGTGACACAGCAATCAAAATGCAGGTGAACAATTAATGTATAATTTCACATTATGTAATGAAGGGTGATTTCATGAATAATCTCTGAAGTAAAACAGGGAGAAATAAACAGCCCTTGCTGAGTTTCTTGCCGGTTCTTCTCAGTACAAGGTCTCCCGCCGGAGATTTACGAACCGATGGCGTAGCTTCTAGACATTCATATGTGCTTGTAACAGCCTAAACTGAATAAATGATTTTGATTGATTTATTGAATGCCCCAGAACGCACAGCAATGAGAAAATGCTAGTTGTGTTCAGAATATTTCATAAACTCTAATTAGACATTTGTTGAGATATGGACAACTTGAGGAATCTTGGCCTACTACAGAATGTATTAGATTTTGAGGTTATAATTATCTTATAGTCGACAAAGGGCCGCCCGCACCCCCGCATTTGTTCTATGGAATATATATCATAAGATAAACTTAATTAATTTCCTTTCGTACAAGCTTTTCAGATACTCGACAATATAGATGTATTCTTAACGAATTCTTCCCGGTTCTTCTCAGTACTAGGCCTCCCACTATCAACAATATTAAATACCCTAGATATACCACGTGCGCTCAAAATGTGGCCCAATCAAGAAGTGCTTGAATTCCACTCAAGCACTTCTTGATTCACAGTCACGCGCGGACCGTTGAAAAGTCAACGTCAAAAATGCGAAAAAAATAGTCATAGTACGTAGTGTAGTTTTTTCGACAGCTACATAATCAATGTTTGTAAATTTAATGCATTTCAAGGATTTTTTTTATAAAATATTTTTCTGATTTTCAAATGCATGGTCGGTAATATAGCCGTCTCTTTTTCTCGTGGTCGGCACCTGCTATATTGCTAACAGCGCATTCAGAATTGTGCGTAGATTCAAAGAAATAAGCTATATATTCTTCCGCATATAGCAATAAATCGTAAAATTTTACGAGCTTGCATTTCGAACTGTCATAACTCTTTGACGCATGCGTTTTAAGACCTTATAATGGGTGCATTAAAGGTGACTTTTTCTATATTTAAATAATACCTTATATTGTTTTTGACAATTCGATCGTCTTACGGAGCTCCGTGGATCGTCCAATGTACCTTTTGGACAGGTTTCGGCCACGATTTTGTTTGTGTTGTATCTAGGGTATTTAATATCGTTGCCCGCCGTTGATTTGCGAACCGATGAAGTGCTTGTAACAGCCTTACTTATTTCGAATAAAGAGTGCTTTTCACAATAGCCAACATCTCAATTTTAGGCAACTATGCATCTGACTATCCGATCCCTAGTGATGATAGTTTAAATATGTTTATCCCCAATTAAGCCTTACTCGTGTCATACAATATGACTTGAGTTACGTACTGCGGGGAATAGAGACGCATCCCAAAGGAAACATCAGCTGGCAACTACGGCAGCTGGTGTGTCGACATGAGGACTACATTTATTTTAGCATATTTGTTTTTATGTTTTTACTTATTTTTAAGCATTTAACTGCTAGATGTTTAAATCTAAAGAAAAGTTTGAGGAGCTCGATGGCGCAACTGGTTAAAATTGCTTGATAGAATAATGCCAGAATGGTCTACTACCAGTCAATGTGCGGACACCGCTGCTTACTTAAGTTTAACTAAGTTTAAGGTTTAAGTTTGTAGGTAACCCACAATGTCAAATGAATACTTTTTCATGTATTAAAACATTTGAAAGAAGAAATAGCAATTATAGTTATGTTTTTACTTATTTTTAAGCATTTAACTGCTAGATGTTTAAATCTAAAGAAAGGTTTACTAGAAATAAATATTTGTTTTTTTGAAGTGAAACTTCTTTATCGGCGTTGGAAAAAAATTTACCGTCACATTTTTTCGGTTACGCGTCACGTTTTTTGGTTACGCGCCATCTTTTTTTTAAAAGAGCACTATTTACCCCATCCGAACAATTGCTTCTTCTGTCAACTTTAAAAAAAAAAGTATCGACAGCAAATATTCGTGTTTCACACAAGGTAAGGTAAGGTGTAGTTATACCCCTTTAGTGGGTGAGTTTTTGAAAAATCTTAGCGCACGCCTATATATATATTTCTGGAAAGTTGCATGTAGATCATTTTTCGAAAAAAATAAGGCCATAAAGAAGTTTCACTTCTTACGTGTGAACGTGTACTAGACACGCACACATTTTTTTTTTAAACTATGTTGTTACATTTATATGACTTTGCCTATGTTTTGTTCGTAAACAGACGCCCTGTTCGGTTCATGGAAGACACCATCTAAGGAGAAGAAGAACTTCAACTTGCCGCAGCCCAAGATGGCCAACACTGACCTGAGCCGTCTGCTCAAATCCGACGAAATTAGGAAGGTGCTGCGCGCCCCCAAGTACGTATACTATGAATTCTCACTCAGAATAAATATCTTTGTTTTATTGAAGTGAAACTTCTTTATCGGCGTTGGAAAAAAATTTACCGTCACATTTTTTCGGTTACGCGTCACGATTTTTGGTTACGCACCATCTTTTTTTTAAAAGAGCACTATTTACTTCATCCGAACAATTGCTTCTTCCGTCAACTTTAAAAAAAAAAAGTATCGACAGCAAATATTCGTGTTTCACACAAGGTAAGGTGTAGTTATACCCCTTTAGTGGGTGAGTTTTTGAAAAATCTTAGCGCACGCCTATATATATATTTCAGGAAAGTTGCATGTAGATCATTTTTCGAAAAAAATAAGGCCATAAAGAAGTTTCACTTCTTACGTGTGTACACTAGTACACGCACACATTTTTTTTTTTTGTTCTGTGGCTGTTTCCGTTTTACACAGAAATTTGGCCAATGTCCTGTAGTGAGAGAGACACGGTATGAGAGAGGTTGCTTGGTATTTATACAAATAAAGATTGAATATTTTATCTGAATAAGCATACTTGAGAATAAATATCAAAAAGCTTAAGTCAATGATATGTCTCAATAATGTATTTTATAATTGTTCATACAAAAGTTGTGTTTTAACTCGTATATTGATTATTGAAACTGACCGTTGCCATAAAATATGGATGGGTCATGGAAATCTACATGCAAAGTATGCTCAAGCAACGCACACATAGACACTGCTCACAGATACGATATTTCGTACCACTTGAGACACGCGTCGGCGACCTACTTTAAGCAAAAATGCAGTAACAATAAAATCATAAAAACTATTTAGTGGATGGTTATTTAAGTTAAGCAGTAAATTTTCGTTTTTGTATTTGTTTATATTTTCATTCGTCCTATTTCATTCTCATCAATAAATCAAACAACTAAATACGCACTAGGGCCATGCAACTACTACTTGATTTTTTGTGCATAAGTCATAGTTGACAATCCTAGGGGCCGTCCATATATTACGTCATTCTAAATTAGCGGGGGGGGGGGGGGGGGGGGGGGTCTGCGGATGACGGTAAATGATATATAGGGGGGGGGGGGTTTTCGAAATTGACGTCATTCTTATTTATTTATTTATAGTTTATTGTTCACGTACAAAAAGATTATTTCTAAAAAGAAATTTACTAGATATTACCCGTAATCCAGAGTAAAAAATAGTGAATAATAATATATAATATTATTATTCCCTATTTTATTTTTATATATTATATCAATGATTATTGCCAAAGTAAAAATAATAAAAGGTGATTCTATAACCAAGTGTTTTAATCATATAATACCCTATTTTTCTCATCTGCAATGTTTTAATTTTGTCAAACTGGTAATGACGTCAATTTTGGGAGAAGAGGGGGGGTCATTAACAAATGACGATAGGATGATTGTAGGGGGGGGGGGGGGTCTAAAATCTGAAAAAATCGATGACGTAATTTATGGACGGCCCCCTAGTGCGACCACCACACAGGTATGAACGGTGAAGTATATACACCTTCTGTACTATAAATTTTGTGCCGTTTCTCTCTATCATTGTAGCCAGTCCTCTATTCGGTTTAATATGTTAATAAAAGTTTGCCACTGACAAATTATTAAATCTATCAATATGATGATGTTCTCTATCAGAGCATTGGGTGATGATTTAACAATGATTACTCTATCACATTGACTTTACACTGATAAAAGTGTAACTTTTAACATATTTGTTTCTTAGGTTTTCACACACATCACTCATTAAATAAAACTAGTTTTTACGGGTTAATGCACGAAACTTTATTTATTTATTGACGTTTCGTAGCCTTTACAGGCTTCGTCGTCAGAAGACGACGTCAGAAGACGACGACGAAGCCTGTAAGGGCTACGAAACGTCAATAAATAAAGTTTCGTGCATTAACCCTTAAAAACTAGTTTTATTTATAACTTTTAATTTTTCGTCCATCAAACATAGTTTCACACGATTGTAACCCCTATTTATTTGGCACTAAGCACGTAGTTCTAAACCTTCCAGTATGATGATATTCTCTATCAGAGCATTGGGTGATGATCAAACAATGATTACTCTATCACGTTGACTTACACTGATAAAATAAGACTTTAAATTTTCCTACTTCAAAGATAGGTTCACACGATTGTAACCCCTAATTCTTTGGCAGTAAGCGCGTAGTTCGCGCAACCCGTAAGCTGAATCCGTTGACCAACTCGAGGGCTATGCTGCGGCTCAACCCTTACTCAGCTGTATTGAGAAGGAAAGCGGTTTTGGACCAACAGAGGAAGAACAACCAGAGGGCGTTGGCACTCGCCGAGAAACGAGGCGTGAGTAACAATTAATTCTTATCTATATTTATAATAAGAATACTTGGGGTGTGATCTACAATCGATACCGAAGCCAAAAATATAGTTTTTAGAATTTTCGTCTGTTTTTTTGTATGTCCGGGATAAACTCAAAAAGTACTGCATGGATTTACTTCAAATTTGGCACAAATATTATTAAGAAGTCGAGTCAACATATAGGCTACATTTTATCACGAAACTCCACCCCTAATGAAGTATGAAAGTCCTATGTTTTTGCAGTAAGAGACTTGAAATTTAACATGTATGCTCTATAGATGGTGTAGTAATTATATTTCTTTAGAAATAAAACTCTTTTGGGGTCTAACCACGCGTACGAAGTCGCGGGCGGCCGCTAGTAATAATAGTAAAAACGTTTATTTGGCACAAATTACAAAAATAACTTATTGTATTATTTAAAGGTTTTGTACCAAACAGGTCACGGCTCATATATGTCGTGGCAACATGTGCTACCACACTGATTTTCAGCAGCAGCCTACTTTAGCCTTAGCGCTAATATTTAAATTCATTATCATTCATCATCATTATCAGCCTATTAATGTCCCCACTGCTGGGGCACAGGCCTTCCCTATGGATGGAATAGGGAGATTGGGCCATGACCCACCACGCGGGCCCAGTGCCGATTGGTGGGTGCTAACGACTGCAGATACAGCCGGGACCGACGGCTTAACGTGCCTTCCGAAGCACTGAGGAACTCGGAGTAAATTTTTGGTCACCCATCCAATGACTGACCACTGCGAAAGTTGCTTAACTTCAACGATCGCAGCCGAACGCGCTGACCACTTGCGCCATCGAGCTCCTCAATAGACATCCATACTTCTAGCAAATTAAGCTCGACAGTTTTATCCTTGGCAACGACACCATGAAAATGATGATATTCTGTTATCAGAGCATTGGGTTATGACCAAACATGATTACTCTAATCACGTTGACAAACCACTGATCATTAACCCCATCTTAATATTTAAAATAATCTTTTTAAAACATTCATTAACATACCAAGTGTATTTCAGATCAAATTGCCGGAGTCTGACCCCGCTGTCAAGGCAGAGAAACTTCGTTTGAGGAGAGGCAAGGCTATCAAAGCCGCTATGGCAAAGAAACCCAAGAAGCCGGCTGCTAAGAAGACTGCCCCTCCACCACCCAAGAAGAAGGCGGAAAAGCCAGCGGGCAAAGTGGCCAAACCTGCTAAAGTTATTAAACCCGCTAAGTGATGGCACAATAAAGTTATGTAATAATATGTACCATCCAGCGTTTTATTTAGTGTTGATGTATTGACTAATAAGGGTTTTCAGTACCCTTAGCACGAATCAATATCGAGTTCGAATAGTTTGAGAGTTTGATATGTCATTGTCAAATTTACCTTACTATACCTTATTATAACTGGAAATGCATAGATGATACCTGATTTTAAAAGTTACTCTTAAGCATTAACTTCAAAAACAGGCAACTATCTGTTAATCTACATGCTTTATATATCTGAATCTAATACATAATTTCGGTACTTGGTTTGATTTCCCTAGTTTACTATATAACTTATTTGTTTTTTATTATTTTAATACCTATGTTTCAGTTTCCGTACTTTTATTCACCTTATATCCGGTCCAGTGGCGACACCTGGCAGAGGCGCGGCCATTTTTGTTTTCCTAAGTTTTGACAGCGCCATATTAACTCATTGGCTCAATTATTTTACCAGGCAGAATTTAAAGTGAAAGCTTTCAGTGAGGTAAGTATTTTAATATGCATTTTATTTCAGGTACAATGCTGCTATTAAACTACTTGACCGTCACTGAAAGCTTTATATTGAGACCTGTTTGTTATCGCCTGGTAATCGCCACGTACATAGATATATACGCCAATGTGACAATTTATGATAAATTTAAATATTAACATTTATCAGATTATATGAAAGTGTATAAAGAAACGAGTAAGGTTAAAAATGAATCAAATAATTTGAATCACGCCTTTAATTTCTTCAAGCTTACGAAGCTGCTTTAACATATGTATTAGCTAATCGCTATATTCCTTTGCTTAAAACTCGTGTCGTTTCTACATATATTTGCTTTGTTAATGACCGGACGCTTCCTTGTGTAGCATTCATTTGTATCTTTGTATATCACAAATAAGGCGTACGAACGCGAGAAAAAGATGTAAAGTTGTTCGATACCGAGTCTTACATTTTACAAGACTGTACTTTTTACTTAAGTACCAAAAATCAGGGTCCCACTTACGATTACCATTATTCGGTACAAGTCACCAATCGGATTGTCTTTAACTACTTTCACCTGTTTTGAACCAAAACAAGGCTAAACTAATCTTCGTCGGTACAAATACAATGATTCGGGATAATTTGAAGTAGGAACAAGTCATGTGTACCACATGCTGAACCAAATAATACGCAGCATAATTACTGTATGACGTTCAGAACAACATATATGACGAAGTATTTGAAACAGATCATTATGATGTAACGAGTACATTATTGAAGAAAAGGAAATAAGTTAACTTATAGACACAGAATAGTAGGTTACGGACTGATTCTTTAAAAACAATCGACTTCAATATATGTGTTTGCCAAGACAGGTGAGCTTAGGTAATTAGACTTATCATCCATTGGTATATCATGTAAAAACTACTGACTTATTTAAAATAATGGTATTTATTTTAAGATAAGTCACGAGTTAAAAATAAGTCTCTCAAAAATCGTTAGTTCAGAGCAGAGTCCACAACTTGCGGGATTATTCCGATAAACATTCTTGTTCCTAGACCAATGCAACCACGCAAGCCAGCGTTTCCGAGCCATCTCATAGCTGTTTAAGACAGAGCTGTCGCTCTTTGTAGAATATGTTGAAAAGCGTAGTGCTAGCATATCGTGCCGTGTTCTTCAACTATACTTCCCAAGCTTTCATATTAGATTGGCGGGAAGTGATTGCAAGGTCGATTGCAGTGAATTCATAATTATTGTTAGCAGTAGGGAGTGGTTGATACAACCCCACGGAATGACAAAAATGTTGAAACCGATCAACTTCTGAAGTTTACGTTTTTACGACGAAATTCTCTGGTATAGTTTTTATATTGTTGCTGGGTTGCCGTGATAAATTATGCTATTACGAAGTTCAGACCAGATTTTATGAAATTCATTTGCCATCCTGGAATCTATAATTGATTGTAATTTTTCTTTTGTTTTTCAGTTCTTAGATCTGAGTCATTTATATGTATTACTTAATACTAAATAAAGATTTAGTTATTTATAAGATTTACACAGCTTACATGAGGTGTGCATGTACTATGCGTAGGGTTTGAAGTATATTTATTCCAGACAGTCGTGGCAAGATTAGAAAGCGTAAGTTTAATATTAAGAACAGTTTTCAGTAATTTTTACTAAAATAACATAAAGGGGATAATTGCATACAATGATCTTCAAAACCTTTCAAGAATTTGGTAGATCGTGCAATCTTTCTTCAGTAACTAGCACCACTTATATATCAAAATGATCATGTTGGCCACCTCAGACACCACATACACGACATTTCTTATATTGCAAGTTTCTCTCATTACGCGATCAAAAGAGTGAGCAACCCATTTGGTTTACTTTTGTTATTTTGAAGAGAAAATATGTTATCTTCTATTTATCTGGCAGATAGTCCTTAAATTGCAGAAAACTTAGAATTCTTTACATATTTATAGTGTACTGCACTTGAGATTGGAGTTTGATATATATTGGATTTAGATAAACAAGCTTTTGAATGGCATGCGATACCATTAAATTTATTTAAGAATTATTTATGGAGCTCCCAATTCATCAACTTACCTGCACTAAATTTTTTCAAACATTAATTGTTTCGATATTCCTTTTTCTTTTGAAATGTATTATATATTACCGTAGTGATCGAGTCAACACTTCACACCAATTAGCCTAGCCTTATAATGGGCATTGAAAGGCTTGTGTTATGGGCTAACGCCTAGAAATGCATAATGATGATGCATAGATTAGAATTTATTAGATTAGATTTTGAATTCATATTTGTTAACAACCAAAACTTAGGCACAGATGCTCGTTTTTATCATACAATGATTTGCCCCACCGGGGTGAACCCAAGACCTCGGAGTATGCGACACCTTAAAAACCACGTACATTGCACTTCCCAACGGGGTACGTCAACATTCGATGTTCGATCTTTATAGTCTATTAAGAGGGTAGTTTATAGCCGATACTTATGTGTGTACGCAAGCCATGAGCGGGTATGTTGCGTTGCGTTGATGTAAGGACTTCCACGCGATGGAAGTAATGAATTATGTCAAGCGACATTTATTATATTTTCAATTTACTTATTTTTAATGTTTCGAATCGTTTACACTTTTACAGACCCCATGGTCACAAAAATAAATTATGAATCACGAATAGAGTACATGTTAAATTATGCATAATTTGCTCCACTGGAGTGTCGTATGTTACCGGTGCTTACATAATAGTACGAACTCCATAAGCGAACATGTTCTAAGGAGAACATATATTGATATTCACGTAATGGAAATAATATATTATGTGTGATATGACCCCACAAGGGCGATTATAAAAATTGATGAGGATATTTCTCTATCAACGATGTTTTGTTACTGATACTTGTATGTGTAGGGAAGCCATGGAAGGCAAGTCCTTATTCATAATGAGTTCCATACGGAGGAAGCAAATTATACATAATATGCCCCCGCGAGGGGCGGTCATCAGAGTTTTGGTAATATGCACGCCGCGAAGGTGGTTTGCTACCGGTACTCGTATATGTAAGCAAGGCATTAGAGGTATTTCATAAGGTTTCACGTAGTGTAAACAAATTGTATATAATATGCACCCCGCGAGGGTGATTTGCTACCGGTACTCGCATATGTAGGCAAGGCATTAGAGGCATTTCATAAGGTTCCACGTAGTGGAAACTAATTGTACATAATATTCACCCCGCGAGGGTGATTTGCCACCGGTACACAAGGCAAGTAGACAAGGCATTAGAGGCATTTAATAAGATTCCACGTAGTGGAAACAAATTATATATAATATGCACCCCGCGAGGGTGATTTGCCACCGGTACTCATATGTGTAGGTACGCCATGGGAGGGCATGTCCTGACACGCCTTGGGCTTCATGAGATGAAGCTTATGAATATCACTTGCCTCTGCGCGAGTTGCTCATTAGGTTGATGAAATGTCAATCACTTAAATCCATGACAAATACTTACTTAATACGAGAAAAACAACCTCATAGATGGTATCTTATTAAGTGGTGCTTCATCACAGAGATCACTAACTTCTTAAGCAGTGCTTTAGTTTTTACTTTTTAGCTTTGTGCTAGCTGTAAAAGACCTAAGAAACAATTCTGTTATCTTATCACTTTCGTTATTAAAATTAACTGAGCAGGTGCCTTCCCGCAATGATTCATTTTTATTTTAGAAATATGCAATTGCTGAAAGAAAATTAATGTCAGGAACGTGATATATCATAAATTATCATCATACTTCTTTACCTCGTTGTTTGTTTCCAGGTTGATAAAGCCTGGACTATGATTATAATTTTCAATTTACATCAGCATATCATTTAAAATAAACGTTGAATGTCTTTCGAACAGAGCGTTCCTTTATCCTAGTTTAGTCACACGACTCATACGAGAATTTTTATTACGTGTATTGGTCAGTAAAAATGTTAGAACTTTTTATTCATAAGCCTTTAGATATTGATAGCTGGCCATGTTCAGAAAACGGCATATCGACATTAGAAATACCTTATTAAGATTGTACATAGTTCACTTACCCCTCGAAAAATCTTTTAATAAAAGGGCTGGAATATCAAGCTCGCTTATTTTTCTTGAGGCAGCGATGCCGCTTTCGTTATACCAGAAGACGACAAATTCAACCAATTATTACTGCAGCTGTTCGAAGAACAATAATGACTAGATCCACACATCTTGCTGTTTTTGCCAATAATGCCAGTCAGTCGGCGGCTGAAACGTCAATATTGACCGATATTCCTTCACTCTAAACTGTAAAACAATTTAATTAAGTATTTTGTAATACATTTACCAATTTACTTTCACATTTACTTATACGGAAACATTAATTGAGTACCAAGAGAAAACACTCTTAAAATAGTTTTTATGATAAACGACCAAGACAGACGTAAAGTATTGCAAAATTTTCTTTAATGTAGGTACTTTAATTTTTTAAACAAAACGCACCTTGAATTGCCGTTACGTTTTGCT